ACCTCTGAGCCCCATGGTCCCTTGGCCTCTGCTCAGGGCACCCCACTCCACCAGTAAGCCTTGGCCTGAAGTTGCTCAGCTCTAGCTCCGGGAATCAGCAAACTTAGCTATATCAGATGCCTGGGAGGCACCTCTCTCCTCTAGCCAGCCTTCTGTCTGGAGACACTCAGCTTTCCTGCTGTTTGGGCCAGAAAGCCCACTATGCCATTTCCTGTAAGACTCCTGCTTCTGCTGCCTCTGGTGCTGCTTCTGCTCCCACCACTTTTCTGTCACTCATTTTTGCTGTCTCTCTGTGTTACAGTCTTCTGTCTCCTGGGTCTTAGGAGGTTCCCAGCGCAGAGACCTTGGATCCAAAGGACATGTTCCACTCCCATCTCTTCTTTATGATGGTGGTAGTCACATCTCCCCTTTCTGCCTCTGGAATGGCTCATTTTAATCCTAGCAGGATGACAGAATTGACCAATCTGCACATTAGGGTTGCATACAATTTATTTGCATAGCCCCACCCCACAAGGGTGCCATGAGCTCATTTACATTATTAGCAAGCCAGTTAATCCCCTTGTTGTTGTTGTTGTGTGCCATCGAGTCGGACGCGACTCATAGCGACCCCTCCCTGGGTTTCCGAGGCAGTATCACTACGGAAGTAGATTGCCCCATCTTCCTTCCGAGGAGTGGCTGGTGGGTTTGAACCGCCAGTCTTCTGGTTAGCAGTCAAGTGCCTTAGCCACTATGCTACCAGAGCTCCCTTAATCCCCTTAGTGGGCCACAAGTACCTTACATTTGTGTAGCCCCACCCAGTAACTGATGGGAGTTTTACAAAGACTATGGCTAGAAGGGCCATATTAAGTAAGTCACTACACCACACCTGGGTATTACCTAGCAGTTCCACTCCTAGGTGTATATCCTAGAGATCTAAGGGCAGTGACACAAAGAGACATATGCACAGCTATGTTCACTGCAGTATTATTACAATAGCAAAAAACATGGAAACAAAAAATGAATGGATAAACAAATTGTGGTACATACATACGATGGAATACTGTTGTTGTTGTTAGGTGCTGTTGAGTCATCTTTGACTCATAGTCACCCCATGTTCAGCAAAACGAAACACTGCCCAGTCCTGTGCCAGCTCCACGATCTTTGCTATAGTTGAGTCCATCATTGCAGCCACTGTATCAGTCCATCTCAGTGAGGGTCTTCCCCTTTCTCTTTGTCCCTCCACTTTACGAAGCATGATGTCCTTCTCCAGAGAATGTTCCCTTCTTACAACATGACCAAAGTAAGTGAGAAGTCTGGCCATTCTCACTTCCAAGGAGCATTCTGGCTTCACTTCTTCCAAGACAGATTTGTTAGTTCTTTTAGCAGCCCATGGTACTTTCAGCACTCTTCACCAACACCACAACTCAAAAGCATCAACTCTTCTTCAATCTTCCTTTTTCGTTGTCCAGCTCTCACATGCATAGGAGGCAATAGATAATACCGTGGCTTGTGTCAGGTGCACCTTAGTCCTCAAGGAGATATCTTTGCTCTTCAGCACTAGAAAGAGGTCCTTTGCAGGCCATTTGCCCAACGCAGTATGTCATCTGATATCTTCACTGCTGCTTCCATTGGCGTTGATTATAGAACCAAGTAATATGAAGTTTTTGACAACTTCAGTGTTTCTCCATTTATCATGATGCTACTTGTTGGTCCCTTTGTGAGGATTTTTGTTTTCTTTATATTGAGGTGTAATCCATACTGAAGACTGTAGTCTTCAATCTTCATCAGTAAGTGTTTCAAGTCATCCTCACCTGCAGTGAGGAAAATTGTGTCATCTGCATAATGCAGGTTCTTAATGAGTTTTCCTCCAATCCTGATGCTATATTCTTCATCATATAGTCCAGCTTCTCGAATTATTTGCTCAGCATACGGATTGAATAAGTATGGTGAAAGGATACAACCCTGATGCATAACCCTTCTGATTCCAAACCATGCAATAGCCACTTGTTGTGTTTGAATGACAGTCTCCTGGTCTATGTACAGGTTCCTCAGGAGAACCATTAAGTGTTCTGGAATTCCCATTCTTCTCAATGTTGTCCATAATTTGTTATGATCCACACAATCAAATGCTTTTGCATAGACAATAAAACACAGTATTCTTTTCTTTGAGGAAAGATCCATCTGACATCAGCAGTGATATCCCTTGTTCCATGTCCTCTTCTGAATCCAGCTTGCATTTCTGAAAGTTCTCTGTCAATATACTGTTGTAGCCATTTTTGAATTATCTTCAGTAAGATTTTACTTGCATGTGATACTAATGTTATTGTTCGATAATTTCCACATTCTGTGAGATCAATTTTGTTTGGAATGGGTACAAATATGGATCTTTTCCAGTCAGTTGGACAGGTAGCTGTGTTCCAAATCTCTTGGCATAGCTGGTGAGTGGCTCCAGCATGTCATCCATTTGTTGAAACATCTCAATGGGTATCCTGTCACTTTCTAAGCCTTGTTTTTCACTGCTTCCTTCAGTGCAGCTTTGACTTCTTCTTCAGTACCATTGGTTCTTGATCATATGCCGCCTCCTGAAATGGCTGAATATTGACCAATTATTTTTGGTACAGTGACTCTGTGTATTCTTTCCATCTGCTTTTGATGTTTCCTGCATCATTCAGTATTTTGCCCACGGAATCTTTCAGTATTGCAACTCAAGGGCTAATTTTTTTCTTTAGTTCTTTCACCTTGAGTAATGCCAAGCATGTCCTTCCCTTTGGGCTTTCCAACTCCATATCTTTGCACATTTCATTATAATAATTGAATATGTCTTCTTGAGCTGCTCTTTGAAATCTTCTGTTTACCTCTTTTATCTTGTCATTTTTTCCATTTGCTTTAGCTGCTCTTCAATCAAGAGCAAGTTTCAGAGTCTCTTCTGATATCCAAAAACTAAAAAACCAAACTGACTGCCGTCGAGTTGCTTCCAATTCATAGCAACCCCTCCTTGGGTTTCCAAGGCAGTATCTCTATGGAAGTAGATTGCCCAGTCTTCCTTCTGAGGAATGGCTGGTGGGTTTGAACCACCAGCCTTCTGGTTAGCAGTCAGAAGCCTTAGGCACTACACCACCAGAGCTCCCTTCTGACATCCATTTTGGTCTTTTCTTCGTTTCCTGTCTTTTTAATGACCTTTTGCTTTTTTCATGAATGATGTTCTTGATGTCATCCCACAGTTCCTCTGGTTTTTGGTCATTGGTGTTCAGTGCATCAAATCTATTCTTTAGATGGTCTCTAAATTAAGGAGGGATATTTTTAAGGTCATATTTTGGCTCTTGTGGACTTGTTTTAATTGTCTTTAACTTCAACTTGTACTTGCATATGTGCAGTTGATGGTCTGTTCCGCAGTCAGCTCCTGGCCTTGTTTTGGCTGAAGATATTGATTTTTTTCATCACTTCTTGCCACAGATGTAGTCAGTCTGATTCCTGTGTACTCCATCTGGCAAAGTCCACGTGTATAACCTCCATGTATGTTGTTGAAAAAAGGTATTTGTGATGAATAAGTTGTTGGTCTTGCAAAAATCTATCTTGTGTTCTCCAGTGTTCTTTCTATCTCCTAGGCCAAATTTTCCAGCTACTGGTGATTCTTCTTTGTTTCCAACTTTTGCATTGCACTCACCAGTGATAATCATCAATTTCAGATGATGAATAATTCATCAATTTCAGACTGCAGAAGTTTGTAGAAATCTTCACAATTTCTTAATCTTTGGCTTTGGTGTTTGGTGCATAAATTTGAGTAATAGTAGTAGTAACTGGGCTTCCTTTTAGGCTTATGGATATTAATGTATCATTGACAGCATTATACTTCAAGATGGATCTTGAATATTCTGTGACGATGAATGCCATGCCATTCCTCTTCAATTGGTCATTCCTGGTATAGTAGATCATATGGTTGTCTGATTCATAATGGCCAAAACTGGTCCATTTCGGCTCACTACTGCCTAGGATATCAATCTTTATATGTTCTGTTTCATTTTGGACAACTTCCAATTTTCCTAGATTCATACTTTGTACATTCATGTTCCGATTATTAGTGAATATTTGTACGTGTTTCTTCTCATATTGAGTCGTGCCATATCAGCAGCTAGAGGTCCCGATAGCTCTACTTTATCCATATCATTAAGGTCGGTTCTACTTTGATGAAGCAGCTTTTTCCCAGTCATATTTTGAGTGCCTTCCAACTTGAGGGACTCATCTTCTGGCACTGTATCGGACAGTGTTTCAGGGCTATTCATAAAATTTTCTGGTAACATATCAGACAGTGTTTCACTGCTGTTCATAAGGTTTTTACTGACCAATTCTTTGAGAAGTGGAAGGCCTCTTCCTTCTTCTAAGTCTGTCTCAGTCTGGAAGTTCCAGTGAAACCAGTCCACCCCTGCTGGCACAGTGTCCATCCTCACAGCAACACGCAAGCCAGCATAGTACAACAAACTTACAGACAAGTTCATCTCCCTTAGCTGTTCCAGCTGTTCTACTCATTTCCTGGACTTCCCTCTTCTTGTTCTGCTTGCCAGCCCTGTCTGCCACTGCTTCCTGCCACCTAGGGGCTCTCCCCGCCTTACCTGCTCCAGCTTCTGGCAATGGAATAACAATGAAAAAAAAAAAAAAAAACCCAAACTCACTGCTGTCAAATTGGATCCAACTCATGGTGACCCCTAGTGTTTCTGAGGTGATGTCGCTACGGAAGTAGATTTCTCAAACTTCCTTCTGAGGAGTGGCTGGTGGAAATACTACATAGCTACAAAAAATAATGAATTCTCGAAACATATTACATATCATAACATGGATGAATCTGGAGGACGTGCTACATGAGGTAAGTCAATCACAAAAGGACAAATACTGTATGATCTCACTTTTATAAAAAGAAAAGAATAGATATATATTCAAAAAACATTGTTGATTGGCGGCTACCAGAAATGGAAGGCAGAGGGAGGGAGAAATATTTTCTAGATAGTAGCCACTTGTTATTTTTGGTGATGGGAAAGGCAGTATCAAATGCAGGTGAAGTCTGCACAACTTGGCCATATTACATGTTGACACTCAAAAGTACACAGGAATAAGGGAATGCTATGACATATACAATTTTGCAACAATAGCATTATCAACAAAAGTGTTTGTAGCATTTTGATCATATAGTAGGTTCCATCCATTCACTATACTTTTCTGAGTTGTCCTACGTGCAAGTACATTTTTAATGTTGTCTGTCTGCTGTGCTATTCCTGTAAGTTTACTATTAAAATACATTAAACTTAAAGTATTTGTAGCATTTTTATGAAACAGTAGATTTGAATTCTTTGAAATTTCTCTGAATGTGAGAGTTTGTCCTGTAAGAGAGTTTCAGAAAATTTTAAGATTTCTGTATAAGTCAATTCAACTCATAGTGACCCCTCCTTGGGTTTCCAAGGCAGTATCTCTACGGAAGTAAATTTCCCAATCTTCCTTCCAAGGTATAATATGGCTGCAGCTTACCTTTCTAATTTTTTGAAAGATAACCTGGTTTTTTTTGTTCTAGGAACAGGAATAAAAAAAAAATGTGGGAATATATTTTGACTTTGCTAACTTGAAGAGCAAGTCAGGAGAGTTAGAGAATTCAAGTTTATGAAATCAGGAAAAGTAATTCTTTTTAGCTGTTCTATTTCCCATTGGCAGGATTTGCTTTAGTTTTATTAAAGGGCTTCTTCTTGAAGCTCTACAATGGTGTGTTGAAACTAATGATTCATTTCATTTTGAAAAGCTGTGGAGACTACAGGTTTAACATTGGATACATCAAATAACAACTACTGTATTTCTAATTTTAAAATTGAACATTACCCAGTGAATTACAAATTTTTTGGGTTTTTTTTCTGTTTCAGATCAGAGACTAAATGAAGCTTTTAGGCGGTATCAAATGGAAAATTTTTCTAAATATTCATCTGTGCAGGTATGTAAATTAAATAAGGTCTAAAACGCTAATTTTAAATTTAGTTGTAAATGTATCTGCTTGAATATGGTTTCAGAATAAATTCTCTTTTAGGATTATTTGTATGTGAAGTTGCCTACAGCACTTTGAAATTTTGATTACTTGTCAACCTTGGGGCTTCTCAGCCTCAGGAGCCAGCAGCTGTCTGAGTGAAGAAATGCCTCTAGCTCCAGTGGGCAGGGAGCAGGAGGTGGAGCTAGACCCCAAGGTTAAGGGGCTTTCACTCAGCCCCTAGAGCCTGGCACTTGAACTTGGACTTGAAGCCTCCAAATTGTAAAAATAAACTGTTTGCTAAGGCCATACCATTTGTGGTATATTTCTTGTTAGAGCAGCACTAGGTAACCAGAACAGCCACTGATCATGATCATCTCCGTGTATTAGCTGGCCAGCTGAATATTCTCCTTCGTGAAGTGTCCATTTATGTCTTGTGCTCATTTTTCAATTGGATTGTTAATTCTTTTGCTGTTAAGCATTGGAGTTTTCCATAAATCTTAGAGATAAGTCCCTTCCTAGATATGTAATTATCAACAAGTATGAATTTATTGCTGTCATTTTTGTTATGTGCTTTTTTGTGGTATTGATTTCTTGGTTCCATATAATTTTCTGTGCTGAGCTCATTTTGTTTATGAATCGTGTTATCACTTCCTTTGTTGCTATCATTTTAGTATTTGCTGAATATTTGTGCTGTCCTCTTTTTGATTTTGATGTGAAGATTTATCATATTTCTTTGAGGTTACCCTGTGATTTATAGTTTTTTTCCCAAGTTTAGAGCACTCCATTCTATCTTGTAGTTGTCTTTACTTCCCGACCATTTAGAAGTTCTGTAACTACACAAATTTTTCACTCTTTTTGGTTTGTAGTTGTCCTCATTTGTCAATTGATGTCTCTGGTTCCCTATTTACAATGTTGTAGGCTTATTTAGTTTGGATATTTACTTTAGCATTGTTTTTAATATTTCTTTATCATTCAAATATTGTGCTTATTTTTTTATTTTATTTTTTTTTTCATCAACAAGGTGTACTTATTGCTGGGTCTTAAGTTACAAGACACTAAAAGAAAAATAATGACTTCTGGATTAGCAATGGCTGTCTACTGAAGCAATAAGGGATGTTTTGCTTTTGACATAGATGAATCCTGTAATTAGAACTGAAATTGTTTTAAGAAATTAAAAAGAAAGAAGATGAATAAACTCTTTAGTTGCATATAATATACTTATCCTTATAGATATTTTCTTTAATGTGTTATAATCAGTATTTAGTATACTGTCTTGTGTTTTTATTTCCCAAGATGAGATTCAGTCCAGATGGTCTTGAAGGTGTCAAATCACCATTCACTATGTTAACTACAATTTTTTGTTACGCATACTTAAGAACAATAATCATCTAAGTGATAGAGATCTTTTATAATCTTTTATAAATCTTTTATAAATCTTTTATAAATCTGACAGCCTCTAAGGGTTGCCCACATTCCTAGGTTCTTTTGCTTCTGTTAACCACTGCATAGCCCAGGCCTGAAAGTAATATTCAAACAAAAGTTTGATTTTAAAGCCCTAGAAGAAACATCACTGGACATGGTGTTACTGCTGGAAGCTGTAACTGACTTTCATGAAAGATGATTTTACCAAATACCATTAACAGTGATTCCAGATAGCCCTTCAGATGCACCTGCATTATGCTTTGTGATTATAATTAAGTAAAGCCTGAAAGTGGCAGATTAGTAGGGAGGACTCTTCCTTTATTTAATAGTAAGATCGTCAGTGAAACTATAAGTCCTATGATTCTCTGGAGGCATACATTCTTCTCTTATACATACTATTCTTGTAATCATACAGTCAAATCTTGCTTACTCAAAACTCACTGCTGTCGCATCAAATCTGAATCATAGTGACCCCTCCTTGGGTTTCTGAGGTGGTGTCTCTATGGAAGTAGATTGCCCAGGCTGCCTTCCGAGGTGTCTGGTGGGTTTGAACCATGACCCTTCTGGTTAGCAGTCAAATGCCTTAGGGACTACACCACCAGAGCTCCTAAATCTTGGTTATTATCTCTTATTTTTAATGGTTACATATTGTTAATGCTTAAGATTTGTCTGCAGTCCTCTATCTCTTCCACAGAACTTGGTATCTCAGGAGCCCGTCACATAGGTCATGACTTTCACTGCAGGGTTCTCAGCAACTGAGTAGCTCTTGATTGTTAGTTATCCACCTAGGATATTTCTGTTGGGAGTGGTGTGAAGCAATCTTTTGGGAAGTTTGCTTGCTCTCGGGTATAGAATTCTGATGTTGGGCTTGGTTAGTTTGGCTACTCTGCCAGGCTCAAAAGGAGCCTTCCTAAAGGCAGAAGGAGTCTCTCTGACTGCTGGCTGAGAAAGGTGGGAGTGGGAGACAAATCTGCTTTGTAAAGTAATATGCATATCCTTGTCAATATGCAGTGCATCCTTGGAGGGTTTTTCACCCCAGAAACCTTATTTTGATTTCTGAAAAAATGTTCACAATTTTGTTTGTTTGTTTTTCTGCTTGTTTTGTTGTAAAGGAAGACATGGAAATAGGAGGAAACCATTATCACAGAGTATGTGAGATCTAGTAGCACTGGCTCAAACCTTTTGTCACTGTAACTTTTGTCATTGCTGCTAACAGCAGAATTCTTTGATAAATTTACATTGCCCTTTTTTGTTAATGTGGTGTAGTAAATTACATAGTGTGGTTTTTCTAGCCATAAGTCTTTATAAACTCCATGGTGGAATTTGCCATGAGCAACTGAGTAGCTCCTGATTGTTAGTTATCCACCTAGGATATTTCTGTTGAGAGTGGTGTGAAGCAATCTTTTGGGAAGTTTGCTTGCTCTCGGGTATAGAATTCTGATGTTGGGCTTGCTTAGTTTGGCTACTCTGCCAGGCTCAAAAGGAGCCTTCCTAAAGGCAGAAGGAGTCTCTCTGACTGCTGGCTGAGAAAGACATGCTGCTGAGAGAAAAACACTCTTGCGAGACACACACTTGGTGAGAGAGAGACACGAGAGACAGGCGCTTCTGAGAGAGACTGTTGGCTGCTAAGTGAGACGGCTGGCTGTGAGAGATTGAGTGCATTTCTGAACTTGAATTGTAGCTTGTTTCTTCCCTATAAATAATAAACCCCATAATCTGTGAGTTCTATGTGGCCACTGCAGTGAATTAGCAAACCCAGCAGAGAGGTGGTGGATGCTGTGGGAGGAATGGTTGGTGTCAAGGTTGGTGAAAGCGCTGGAGGGGGGTGGTATGTCTGGCCTATCAGGGATAAGCCTTGGGCTACTAATGGTGATTCTGTCTTCCTCTTGTGGGCTTAGAGGAAGTCAGAAAATGCAGCCTCCTTGTCCCCTTGTCAGTTCATCTGTGTTTCCCAAGTGCCTAGAAGCATTCTTGTCTTAAGTGCTTGTGGAATGACTTTATTTTCTCTCTTTTCCTCTCTCCTGTCTTCCCATCTCCTAACATTAAGCTCTATCTGCCAAATACCATGGAAGTCATGGAGGTATGAAAAGTCTGTATCAGCTTGGCAAATACAAGTAGTTCACAATTTTTAATTTTATTTGTTTAAGATAAACAAAACAAAACCCACTGCTATTGAGTTGACTCTGACTCAGAGTGACCCTCATTGGGTTTCTGAGACTCTAAATCTTCACGAAAGTAGATTGCCCCATCTTCCTTCTACAGAGTGGCTGTTGGGTTTGAACTGCTGACCTTCTGATTAGCAGCTAAATACCTTATCCACTACACTAGCAGAGCTCCTTTTTATATGTTGTTGTTGTTGTTGTTTGCCATCGAGTCAGACCCGACTCATAGCGACCCCTCCTTGGGTTTCCGAGGCAGTATCACTACGGAAGTAGGAATGCCCAACCTTCCTTCCGAGGAGTGGCTGGTGGGTTTGACCCGCCAGCCTTCTGGTTAGCAGTCAAGTGCCTTAGCCACTATGCTACCAGAGCTCCTCCTTTTTATATAGTATAAACAAAAAAAACAAAACCCACTCCACTCGAGTTGAATCCAACTCATAGCAACCCCTCCTTACATTTTCTACACGGTATATCTACAGAAGTAGATTGCCCAATCTTCCTTCCAAGGAGTGGCTGGTGGATTTGAACTGCTAGCCTTCTGGTTAGCATTCAGATGACTTAGGCACTACCCTACTAGAGTTCCTGCTTGAAATTTTACTATGGTGTCAAGTTACTTCTGACTCATAGCAACTCTCTACAACAGATGAAATACTGACTGGTGGTGCATCATCCTCATACGTGTTGCTTTGTTTGAGCCCATTTTTGTAGCTTCTGTGTCAGTCTATCTTTTTGAGGGACTTCCTCTTTTTCTCTGATCCTCTACTTTACCAAGCATGATGTCCTTCTACAGGGACTGATATGCAAGAATTTGGACCATCTTCACTTCTAAGGAGCATTCTAGGTGTACATCTTCCAAGACAGATTTGTTCATTCTTCTGGCAGTCCATGGTATATGTACTATTTTTTGCCAACACCATAATTAAAAGGCACCAAGTCTTTGGTCTTCCTTATTCATTGTCCAGCTTTCATATGCATATGGGGCTATTGAAAATACCATGGCTTGAGCTGGGCACACCTTAATATTCAAAGTGCCATCTTTGCTTTTTAACAATTTGAAGAGTTTTTTTTTTTTTTTTTTGTGGCAGATTTGCCAAATGCAGTATGTCATTTAACTTCTTGACTGCTGCTTCCAGGGTTGTTGATTGTGGATCCAAGTAAAATGAAATCCTTAACAATTTCAGTATTTTCTCTGTTTATCATGATGTTGCTTTATTGGTCCAGTTGTAAGGATTTTGATTTTCTTTATGCTGAAACGATTGAATCTCTTTATGTACCTCTTTCCCCACCCATTTTCTTCCTAATGGTAACCACTATCCTGAATTTGGTATTATTCAGTATTATATATGCTTTAATAAAGAGCCCTGGTGACACAGTGGTTAAAACAGT